TTCAGACAACCTTCTCAGCAACGTCTGGTATCAACCGGAAGAGATATATTCCATTGATGGAAAACCTGAGAATAGACAGCATGCCCTTTGGGTCCCTGTTGACAAACTTTATTTTCACTTGCAGAGAAACTCGAGGTCCTTTCTTGTCTTAATCATTTGACCACCAAAGTGATCGACACATTTATTTAAATTTAGTTTTTAATTCTTTGTCTGTACAGGATATTGTCCTTGAAAGGTGTGTCAATTCTACTATGTGTTTACCTCAAACTCCAAAGGTATTTAGAGTGGAAAGAGGTGTGAGTGCTAATGTGTTGGTAGACAATGCTGCCTATCGAAATTTCTTGCATTCTAAGTTCAATGCAACTCTGATCGACATGGAAAGTTCTGGAGGAGCCCTTGTATGTCTCAAAAAAGGATTCCTTTTATAGCAATTAGGGCAATATCTGATTTAGTTGGTGGAAGTTCGTCTGTTGAAGTTTATATCTTCTCTTCATTGGCCGCTCGAAATGCTATCAAGGTTGTGCTTAAATTCGTCAGTTTGTTATTGAGGGAAGTGCAAACTCTTTACTCGGCTCAGTAAGGTTTATGAGCTAATGTCATTGTCAGTCGATAGAACTCGACTCGACTAAATAAGGTTGTTAGCCAATTTTGTACGCACTTATGTTCAAATATGTACTTTGTACTTCGTGTCAACTTCGTTATTAAATAAAGCTTCATCGATGTGTTCGCCTGATTAATAAGCTGTTGGCTAGTATTTTGATCGACATATGGTTTCTATCTTTCAAGAATTTAGCTATTTGTACAGAATTTTTTGTTGATATTTAGTTTTAATCATGTTAAGAATCGATAATCACAATCCAATAAATTAATAGAAACGAATTCATACATGCGGAAGCCATTGTTGATATGAATTATAGTTGTAATAGTAGTCAAGATCTTCCCGTCCTTGCTCCTCACAAAAGTATTAGTCATCAATGGGGCAAGCTAATGAAACATATGGATAGGAGAGGGGACCTAGCTTTTATATATAGGAAATAATTTGAGCCGTCCCATTACGACTAGAATTCTAATTAGGGTTTATTTTCGGCCCACATACTTTAAATTACCACATCAAATTAATTACAACCCGTAAGGTGTAAAAGACCCAATTGATCACTTAATAAATTTGGCCCAAACACAAATATCATTATGAACCATATATATAACCCGTAAAATTTTGCAATCGAATGTGACGCCCACATATGGAATTAGATATTGATCGCTTAATGATTTTCAAACAGAGTTTGTTAGCCCTTTCCCGCTTTCATGCTCGGCTACATATTCAACGGTACTCTTATCTGTGAGTTTTTCAAGCTTTTTCTTGATTACAAAATCCAAGCCCAAAAGATCAAGTGCTATTTCTACGTCTCGTTTCCATTTCACATAGTTATTCAAAGACAAGGTTTCAATAGCAGACAATTGATTCGAAAGAGATGAGGCATTATAATCTGTGGAAACATAAAATATCACTCTTAATATCATCCAAACATTATGCATGCAATCAAATGGATGATGAAATATCCAACTAATTAATATGGGCTATTAATTAGATAATCCGTAATTTAAATCGAAACATATGAATTTTATTACGGTAAGAGCCTAGGTGCATCATCATAAAGTCACCTTTGGATCGACAGTACAACTTGCTATAAGGTACTCTTAAAATATATCATGTGGCCAGCTAACAAAATTACATTAGTTTTCGAAACACTAACACCTTTGGACAGAAGGAAACTTCTAGACCAAGGTAAACTCGTTAACTGTCTTATGCCATTTTCCAAAAATATTACATATAATAACACCTTTTGACAATATATTATATGCAATAAATCAAAAATTGTTGGGCAAAAATATATGTATTTTTATTGTAGAGAAAATCGAACAAATAATAATGAGTGTGTCACTTTGGCAGCTACCACCCATTTTTATTTAAAAATATTTCTCTCATAGTGGGAAAAATAAAAATCGTTTCAATGCCCAAAAAAATTCAATCACAAAACAATAATTATATAACAAATCATAATCATTAATCAATCAATGACAAAATTTATGTGATTTAGATACAAAATGGGCAATAAATTTCAATATATATGAAAAATAAAATTTAAGCATACAAATAATAATAACATTTAAATGCACAAACATCTTGAAGAGAATATAAAAGTCGTCAATCAAATTATTACTATACTTTAATTGGGTCAAAATTAAAATTCTAGGGTCAAAATTTTAAAAGTTCAAATTAAAAGTCCCTTTTGAAAATCACATTTTAACCCCAAATTTAAAATTAAAACTAGATCCTCCAAAATCTCAAATTACAAGTAGGCCCTCCTTTTAAAATTGCAAATAGACCCTTGAGTGATTATTGCAACGGGGGGCTTGAGACTAGACTAATTACAGTAGGAGCCCCGTCTCCAGCCATTCAACCTGTTTTGGAGAAAATCCCAGATTACTTTTTTTTTCTTTTTTTTTCTTTTTTAAACACTGGGCAGTTTTGGAAAAGCAATCAAAACTAAAGTAAATTATAAATGATAAATTCAAGCAAACAGAGGAAAGTGGAAATATTGGAATGGCTACTGGGTTTCATTTTGATAGTAAAACATTGGGCAATTAAATATTCAATTGCAAAAAGAAAAACCTGAATTCTTGGCTTCTTCAAGATAACAAAATTTCAATGAAAAGGAAATTATATAGACATGTAAACACATACAGAGAGAGACCTTGAAGAAGTGAGAAAATTGTGGGTTTCTCTTTCCATTCTTCAGACGCAAGGGGGTGGGAGAGAAAAAGGAAGCACTTACTTTTAGGTTATTTGCTCAATAAAAGGCACATAATTCACGTGATTAGGAAATTTCTAAATTCACTGCGGATGTTTTCAAGAAACAAGAATTATTAAAGAAACAGAAAAAAAAATTGGAGAGTAAAGGCAAAATTTTGGTGGACAGTGGCGACAGCATCCTTCAGATGTATATATCATGAAAAAAGACCAGAAAAATACTTAACTCTGCTTACTCGAGAATGAATTCAAACCAGCTAGACACGAAAATATTATGTTATTTTATGAAGGATTCTTATCTTAGTATTACGCTTTGATACCAATTGTTGATATTTAGTTTTAATCATATTAAGAATCGATAATCACAATCCAATAAATTAATAGAAATGAATTCATACCTGCGGAAGCCATTGTTGATATGAATTATAGTTGTAATAGTAGCCAAAATCTTTCCCTCCTTACCCCTCACAAAAGTATTAGCTATCAATGGGGCAAGCTAATGAAACATATGAAGAGGAGAGGGGACCTAACCTTTATATATAGGAAATAATTTGAGTCGTCCCATTACGACTAGAATTCTAATTAGGGTTTATTTCCGGCCCACATACTTTAAATTACCACATCAAATTAATTACAACCCGTAAGGTGTAAAAGACTCAATTGATCACTTAATAAATTTGGCCCAAACACAAATATCATTATAAACCATATATCTAACCCGTAAAATTTTGCAACTGAATGTGAAGCCCACATATGAAATTAGATATTGATCGCTTAATGATTTTCAAACAGAGTTTGTTAGCCCTTTCCCGCTTTTCATGCTCGGCTACATATTCAACAGTACTCTTATCTGTGAGTTTCTCAAGCTTTTTCTCGATTACAAAATCCAAGCCCAAAAGATCAAGTGCTATTTCTACGTCTCGTTTCCGTCTCACATAGTTATTCCCAGACAAGGTTTCAATAGCAGACAATTGATTCGAAAGAGATGAGGCATTATAAACTGTGGAAACATAAAATATCACTCTTAATATCAACCAAACATAATGCATGGAATCAAATGGATGATGAAATATCCAACTAATTAATATGGGCTATTAATTAGATAATCCGTAATTTAAATCGAAACATATGAATTTTATTACGGTAAGAGTTTAGGTGCATCATTATAAAGTCACATTTGGGTCGACAATACAACTTGCTATAAGGTACTCTTAAAATACAGCATGTGGCCAGCTAACAAAATTACATTAGTTTTCGAAATACTAACACCTTTGGGCAGAAGGAAACTTCTAGACCAAGGTAAATTAGTTAACTTTTTTGTCCACCTAGTTGACAGATGCAGTCTTGATAGCGGATGATTAGGTGCAAAAATGGATTATTTTTTAAACAATCCAACATTCTGTCAAGGAAGTCGGCAAATAATTGACATGACATTCTGTCAAGGAAGTGAGCAAATAATTTTGTCAAGGAAGCATGATTGAATTTTGAAAGAAAATGTCGATAGACAACACACGTGCTGCATTTGTCTTTAATTTGAATTTTTCTTTTCAAGATTAATGAAGCATAGATTAAATCCAAATGGCACCTGGAATGCGTATTTGCTAGATAGCTGGAATTAGTCGAGGAAATATAGATGTGAAATAATTAAAAGAATAAAAAATCGGAATATTTTACCTATTTTTTTCTTTGAGTGACTAAAGAATTAATAGACTTGTCATTTAACAGTTGGATGACTCAGAAGCAATAGCTCTCGAGGTTGGACAGAAATAAGAAAGGAAAATTCACTTTAATGCGACAAAACGCGTGACAACATTATTTTCAGAAAAGTATTGTGATAAAACGTCTTATAAACTATAAAGAATTATAATTTGTAGAAAGAAATACAATATTTAATTTAAAAAATGATATTTAACTTTAACTTGAACTCTATAAAAGAGAAGATAACGTTGGGAAAAAATTCTTGTATATTATATTCAGCAGGATGTTTATATATACACATGATTGCAAAGACTTACAATGAAAGAAAATAAGTCACTGTAAAGGGAAATGAATAGAAATATCCCTAAATCAAGCTTTGCAATATTCTGTACATTCAATCTTGGCAAGATAGCTGGGATATAATATGGAAATATGCCTAAACTGGGTCTATAATGAGCACAAGATCTATCACCTTGTGCATGGAATCTGGCTAATTTGCATGGGATCCGGCTATCATCTTGTGCATGGATTCTGGCTGGGATTTATCTCTAACATTAACCTTCAAGCTAAGGGGTGGTGGAGACACCTGCAGCTTGTCTTTGAGGAGCAAAAACCTTGCAGCCGTGTGGCCCTTTGTGAACAAATCAGCAACTTGGCGTTCTGTTGGAATAAATTTGTCCAGAATATCTCCATTAATAACTTTTTCCCTAAAAAAGTGAAAATTGATTTCAATATGTTTTGTCCTTTCATGGAAAATGGGATTGGAGGCAAGGACAAGAACACTTGAACTATCACACCAGAGAATAGGAGGTTAGGTGAGCGGGACCCGCAGTTCTTTGAATAACATTCGGATCCAGTAAAGTTCGGTGGTGGTGATCGCCATGGCACGAATCCCTGCTTCTGTGCTAGATTGAGATACAACAGCTAGTTTCTTATAACCCCAAGATATAAGACATGAGCCAAGAAAAATTCCAAATCCAGTAGTGGATTTTCTATCATCCGGATTGCTAGCCCAATCCGCATCACTGTAAGCAGTTAATTGAAGAGAGTCACGAGTATAGAGTAAGCCATGGTCGAGGGTCCCCTTTAAGTAGCGGAGTACTCTCTTGGCAGCGATCCAATGGGTAGTTGTAGGGTTGTACATATGTTGACATAATTGATTGACTGAATATGCAATTTCAGCCCTTGTGATTGTACAGTATTGAAGAGCACCAACAACATGACGGTATTCAGTGGGGTCCAATAAAATCTCACCATCAAATTTAGACATTTTGGAGCTGAAGACACATGGTGCTGCATATGACTTAGATCCGGTCATCTTGACCCGATTTAGAAGAACTAGAATATACTTCGCCTGGCATAGGTGCAAACTGTTACGTGTCCGAGTGGCTTGAATCCCTAAAAAGAAACAAAGGGGCCCAAGGTCCTTGAGAGGGAATTCCTTTTGAAGCTACTGAATAATGTCCATAATAAACCCATAATTTGTACCTGTGATAATTATGTCATCCACATAGATTAGAATAAAAATATGGATTGAGCCTGAGTGATAAGTAAATAAGGAGGTATCCACAAGAGAGTTAATAAAGCCAAGATCCAATAAGGCAGTGGACAATCAATAGAACCGAGCTCGAGGACCTTGTTTGAGACCATATATCGCTTTGTGAAGACGACAAACATGATTAGGAGCTTGAGGATCGATGAACCCTTGAGGTTGTTCCATGAAGACCTCTTCCGTAAGATTTTCGTGTAAAAAGGCATTGGAAACATCAAGTTGTCTGATCGACCATTGAAAATAAGTTGCCAAGGCAAGAACTAGCTGAATGGTGGTGGGCTTGATGACTGGGCTAAAAGTCTCAGTATAGTCAACCCCACTTTTCTGTTGGAAACCCTTGGCCACAAGACGGGCTTTGAACTGGTCAATAGAACCATTAGGATGTTGTTTAATTTTGTATACCCATTTTGCACGAATTATATTTCGAGAGTGAGGCCGAGGAAAAAGAGTCCATGTTCCATTACAAATAAAGCATCATATTCTTGCTGCCTGGCATCCATCCAACGAGGGTCAGTTTTGGCCTTGGTAAATGACGATGGTTCCACATGAGGGAGCCCGGCATGGAAAGCTGTTATGGGATGTTTGGTGGAATAATACAAAGTAAATTTTGGAAATTGTTTTGGATAAGATGTTCCTATTTTGGATCGGGTTTGCATGGGATGATGAGGTTGAGGAGGTATGGAGGGGATCATGAGATCATCAGAGAAAGACGATGTAGATGCCATGATTAAAGGTGATGGGCTATTGGAAGGAGGTTCGGGTAAGAGATTTGCAGTGGGCACAATTTGAGGTGGTGAATCATTAAATTTGAATTGTCAAAGATTTCAGGAACGAATGATGGTAGAGAAGTAGAGATGCAAGGGGTAGTTGCTAAAACTATGGAGGAAAGAGGGGAGAGTATTACCTGCGAAGGAGCAAAGGCCGAATCTTGAATAGGCACGGGTGATGAGGGCTGTACCAATCCAGGATAAGAGTCTTCATCAAATACAACGTGAGGAGAAATATAGACTTTTTGGAGAGTGGGATCAAGGCAGTGGTACCCTTTGTGACCTGAGCTATAACCTAGGAAAATACATGGTTTGGTCCTAAATTCTAGCTTGTTGGGTGTATAAGGGCGTAGAAGGGGATAGCAAGTACATCCAAAATTTCGGAGATGTTGGTAATCTGGTGGAGAGGAAAATAATTTCTGGGATGGACTGATATTACCCAAAACTAGGGTAGGGAGCCGATTAATTAGATAAACTGCCATGTTAAAAGCATCTATCCAAAATCGTTAGGAAGTTTGGATTGTGCGAGAAGGGTGAGTCCCATTTCAAGTGGCGCAATTTTCTCTCTGCTAGGCTATTTTGTTCTGAAGTGTGGGGGCAAGATTGTCTATGGAGGATTCCATGTTGACCGAGGAAAGAGGAAAATTGATTTGAATTAAATTCACCTCCGCCATCAGTCTGAAATTTCTTGATTTTGCAGGAAAGTAAATTTTCTGTGAGACATTTGAATTTAACAAAGTTAGCAAATATTTTCGATTTATGACATATAGGATAAAATCATGTAAATCGAGTAAAATCATCTATGAATGTCACGTAGTAATGTCAACCGCTTGTCGAAGGGATAGGGGCCGTCCAAACATCAGAGTGAATTAATTCGAGAGGGGCACGTGTTTCGCGACTGGAGTCAGTAAATGGGAGTTTCTTGCTTTAGCCGAGTTGACAGGATTCACAAGTAGAGCTTTTATTTATTTCACTACAAATAGGTAAATTCTGAGATTTAATTAAAGATCGAACAATTTTATTATCTGGATGTCCAAGTCTTGAGTGCCATCCAGATGGGGTAGTTTTGATGCCTAGAAAAGCAATGGAGAAGGATGGAGGAGTAGTTGACGATGTTCTCTTATTCAGTTGAAGTGGATACAGCCCATTTTCACTCTTGCCTGCCAGAAGAGTTCCCTTGTCTTGGTGTCCTTCAAAAAGAAATGAGAAGCAGTGAGTTCAAAATAGCAACTATTATCTAAACAAAATTTTTGTATAGACAAGAGGTTAGTTGCAGCAGAGGGACAATGGAGAATATTTTTAAAAGCAAAGGTGGAATGTGCATATTTAATGAGAGTAGAACCAGTATTAGTTATTGGAAGTCCATCGCCATTAACAACCGCCACAGTTTTCCTTCCTTGAAATGGTTGCTTGTCAGTTAGAAAGTCTTCTTCAACAGTATTGTGATTATTGGCCCCACTGTCAAGGTACAGGTGGTATTTTCAATAGTGGCAATGGTTTGAGCAACCATGGCTGCAAGTTGGGCAGGAGGGTGTCGTCCTTGATAAGAGAAATCCATTCGGTGGAAGCAGTCCAAGGCACTGTGGCTACTTTTACCACAGATTTGGCAAGGAACTCGAGGAGTGGAGTTGTTTCCACCAGTATGAGCAGGAGTAGAGATGTTTGAGGGCTTCAGTTGAACAGGAAGCTTCTGTTGTATAATAGCCCGTGAGGAATATTTGGGGGAAGGTCCTCAAGGTCCATTAGAACGTCGGGAAGGTGGCTTCCCTAGTTTTGTGGACAGTAGAGCAAAGCTGTTGGTAACTGTGGAAACTTGTTATTGGTGATGTAATGAGGTTTCATGGTTCAAAAGTTCTGCCTGGAAATCCTCAAATGAAAACGCCTCATCACAAATTGCAAACGAGAAGGCAGTGACAAAGGATGTGTAGGAGGAGTTAAGTCCGCCGATAACAAATGAAATAAGGTTCTCATCAGGAACGATTTTGCCAACAGCAGCCAATTGATCAGCCCAAAGTTTGGCAAAGGCAAGGAACTTGGAACAAGACCTGTCTCCTTGCTATAAAGTCTAGAGTTGGCGCTTCAGTTGAGCAATGCGTGATGGAGAATGAAAGGCAAAACGTGTTGCCAGAGCTAGCCAAACCTGTCGAGCAGTGTTGAGTCCATAAACAGTTGACAACACTTTCTCGATAAGGGTAGCATTGATCCAACTAAAAAGGTATTGGTCTTTCTTGGTCCAGAGGACAAAGGCTGGATTTATTAAGGAGTCAGTTCCATCAGCAGAGGGAAGAAACTAGGGCGGGTAGATTTCAGTTCCATCTACTATGCCGAGAAGATCATAGCTTCAGAGAATCGGTAAAAACTGTGATAGCCACAGTAGGTAGTTGGTACCATCTAACTTGATGGAAATCAGCTGGGTAATGTTAAAAAAAAAAAAAAAAAGAGAGAGAGAGAAGGTGGTGGAGGAAGTATTTGATTCAGCCATAGGGATAGTGTTTTCAGATTTATATGCGTAAGCAAGGGGCTCTGATACCATAAAAGAGAAGATAATATTGGGAAAATGTTTTTGTATGTTATATTCAATAGGATGTGTATATTTATACATGATTGCAGGACTTACAATGAAAGGAAATAAGCCACAGTAAAGGGAAATGAATAGAAATATCCCTAAATCAAGCTATGCAATGTTCTGCACATTCAATCTAGGCAAGATGGCTGGGATATAATATGAAAATATGCCTAAACTGGGTCTGTAATGAGCACAAGATCTGTCATCTTGTGCATGGGATCCGGCTGGAATATGGAGGGCTCAAGATCTGTCATCTTGTGCATAGAATCTGGCTGATGTGCATGGGATCCAGCTGTCATCTTGTGCATGGAATCTGGCTAGGATTTATCTCTAACACTATTTATTTGATAGTTTTTATGATAGGATGTTTAAAGATTACATTTTCCTTAATTTTCAGTCGAAGCCTACTTAATTTCTTTGTTGAACTTCCCAAAATAGCTCACAACTAAGTGCAACCCCACCGAAATATTCCAATATTTAGCAAAATGTTTCCTAAAGATTTTCATAAAGTTTCCACCATTTTACTAAAAATGAAGAGAAAGTATGAAACTCTTCTTTGAGTTTTAAAAATATTATCTAGGGTTTTTGAAAATTTTCGTTTTTTGAAACAAAAACGCAAGCATATTAGAAGGGATTAGAAATCTCAAAGGTCTATACAATTTCAACCTTTTTTCTAATAGTTATTGGACTTTAAATTTTTCTAAATGGTTACTGTGTTTTCAACAAAATTTTCTCCAAGGAATTCTATGACGAATTCCTTAAAGTGGAAATTACACCAAACTTTACCTTAAAATTCAACATTCTAAAATCAAATGGGAAGTTTCACAATTCTAAAATCAGATTTTTTTATATTAATTATTTAAACAAACTAATAAAATTAAGAAAATCAAAACCCTACCCAATACCCAATACCCGTAATTCTCCTCCCTCTCTCCCTCCCTTCTCCGTCGTCTCTCCAGTGACATTGAACAACTACTGTGAGTGGCAAACCATAAGCATTCGCCGGTCTCCAACGTTCACAAATGCAGATAAGCACGCTAAGTTCGTTGTTGAGATTGGAATATTTTGCACTTCGGTCTCCCTTTTCACTTTGCAAGAAGCTACCGCACTCAACACCACCGCCAATCTCCCCTCTCTTTCTTTAATGAGAACATTGAGCATGGCAGCGAGTGGTGTCGTAGTGGATCTGGTGGTTTGTTGGTATTTTTGTTGGTTTTGAGGTTGTTGTTGGCGGTGGTGTGGTAGTGGATCTGGTTTTCTTGAATCTTGTTGGTGGCAATGGTGGTGGTGGTTTGTTGGTGGTTGTTGTGGTGGCAGTGATCTTGTTTGGTAGTGGTCACAGATTAATTGATTTATTGTGACCATTAAATTGGTTAATCCGTAACCAATAAACAATATACAACCAATAAAAAAGATAAATTGTGACCAAGAAA